AAAAGAAATAAAAAACCTTTCACAAACAATCGCCCGTGCAAACTGTTTGCGGTCACCTGATATGCCCCAAAACTTATGTGGTCGAACCCCTAACGATCGCCCGTGCAAACCGCGGGAGATTAGACGCACACAATATAGATAGTTATAAGTACTAATATAATTAAATCTTTACCATATACTCAGTGTCAATGGACTGGGAAAACGAATGCAAGACGTCATACTCACTTGGTGACCTCGTGCATTGATTAACCTCGATAAATATAGATAGAACGTATGTAAGGCACTGTGAAAGAGATTGTCGCCCGTGCAAGCAAGTCTAACAAGTTGGAGCACGACCCAGACACTCCCCGCTAGTGCTAGGCCACACGGATGTGCCATACATAAGTACTATATATATATATATATATATATATATATATATATATATATATATATATATATATATATATATATATATATATATAGTCTTTTCAAAAAAGGTTGTGATCTGGAAAGATATATATATTAAAGATTGAGCGCGCGAAGAACTTTGGGAATGTTCGTTGAATTAATTATGCCGTCCCAAATATGCATATGTTAGGATTACAACAACGCGTGATAGACATAACTTCGGAGAGTTTGCCGGGAAATATTGCACACCTATCATTAGCCAGCCACAATTCTATCACAACTATTCACTCTCATTCTTGCGTAGAGCTAAACAGTTAGAATAGCAATAATGTGTCCTTGCATCGGTTTCATTTGCATTTTAACAGTATGTAAGATATATTGTATGTTCTGTCCAGCTCTCGTATTCTGACTGGTCGTTAATTCTCATGAAAATGTAGAAAGTAATTAAGTGACATTGTAAACAGGACGAAAACAACCTCGACAGTTCTCTTGAGACTATACTGTATTCATTAAACATATATAATTATCGGTTTTGTTGGTTTGAAATGCCCCGTCTGAAGATCCTAATATTTCCTTTGAGATCGGAAAACAATACGACAACGAAAATGCGACGAAAATGACTGGCACTCAACGTTTATTATACGCAATTAAGATCTGCATATTATGGGCAAAATCTTTCACATGCATGCACAGTCGCACAAAAATGGCAGACGAAAATACAATTAATGTCGTACTGAAAGTTGTACGTAAGGCAAATCGAACAAAATATGATACATACAGTCAACAAAATGTAGAAATGTTTGACAATGTCGATGAATTGAAAGAGTTTTTGTTGCGCAATTTTTCTGTGGAACTATCACCTGCTACGACGACAAGCTCATTCAATCTTGGGTATATTGCTGGAACAAATAGGCAGGTGGTGATAGCAAACGACATCAACCTGGCCGAAGCATATTCTGTTGCTAAAGCAGGTTGGATAACACTGTGGGCAGAGGCAATTGTACCCCCTGCAGTGGCAGCATCAAGAGGAACCAAACGAAGCCTCTCCCATGCAACTGATGACCTGGCAACAAACCCCAGTGGTAATGGTATTTACTTAACTTGTACATCATTTGAAAAATGTTGTCTGTCTTACAATTTCCAGCTAGGTAAAGTTATACTCAAATATATAATATTAGGCTACAGCCTACAGTAGTAATAAAATACAATTCATATCCATAGGATCAAATTCTTCTGAAGCGGCAGGCTATGAAAGTACATTACAGCGACTCAAAACGAAGCATAGTTCCGATTACCCTAAATTTAAACTTAGGGTTTGGGCTAAAATGTTGGTAAGTTCTAATGTATTACTTGTATGTCTCTAAGTTACTGCATGCTGCATGCTATATTCTAAACTTTATGCTGTTTAGCCAGTTGTTTTGTCAGTAATTTACTCGCCTCGAAATTGTTTAATTATAGACCAACGGCACTCACGACAGCCATGATATGCCGCCAAAAATACCTTTTTTACTGGCCTTAAAGTGGGAAAGGTTAGAGGTGATTCCCCTTCGTCGACTACCCCTGCGATGGTAACGACAGGAGCAACACTTCCTGGTTTTTAATACAACGAAAAGTTTTTAATACAAGAAAAGTTTTTAATACAACGACATGGACGGACGTATGGTTTTGAGCTCCTGTAATGTCTGTAAAATTATTTTAATTTGAGCAAGTTTTGACTTCTCTGTCTTCTATATTACACGTATGAAATATAGAGGTGTAAAATAATGCCTCCCAAGAAGAAGAAACCAGTAAATAGTGAGTCAACGATTGAAATTGTCGAAGACACAGTTTTGGACGAGAAAGCCAACATGGCGTCCCTTCCTTCTGGTCTAGAAGATCTGCTCGATAGCCGATTGAAACTGCAACTGGCCCAAATTAACGATCTTTTCCTGAAATTCACTGATACAACTAAATCGGAATTGGAATCTATAAGGCAAAGCCAGGAGTTTCTCTCCATAAAGTTTGATGAGCTGGCTGCCTCGACAAATCAGTTAAAAAATAGGTACGCGCTGCGTACATGTGGGTAGCCTGCATTAATTGTTGTTAAAGTTGGAGTAATACCGAGGTTGGACTTTGGAGTAATACGCGCAACAAAATTGCTGCAGCCAAAATTTCTGCAACAAAATCTGATTTCAACGCATTTTAAGTAGAAATGTTGACAAAACATTTCAATTAACATGCGCAGAAATCAGATTTTGTTGCAAGTTGCTGCAATTTTGTTGCCCATATTAGTATATTACTCCACCTTAATAACTTAATTGCTATTGTCAAATTCCGAATTTACTGAAAGAAAGTATTAAGTAAATTGAACACAATTCAAATATTATACACACATTTAATCACATACTGAACATCAGATATGACAAAAATACGTAAACGACTGTTACGTGTATTTTTCAATAAGCATAAACAGATTTAAGAAGTTACAAAGTATTTTAATGTGTCAAAAATAATTTGCACACTGAACAGACAGAACAGTACAAGGTCTTTAATATGTATACGAAACAAAATACATCACACGCCGAAATACAGACAGTACGAAAAACACTTAAGACGTACAAGAACAGTTCTTGTTCAAGGACAGCATACATCAAAGACAAAGCATCAGGTTTACAGGCTGCGTATATACAATTTTCGTGAAGTTTGAGTTTCAAGGATAGTCCATGCAAAGATCTAAGGACGATGTTTTCCGGCGGAGTTTGAAAAAGATCAACATATATTTATTTAGTACAGTGATGATTGAATTATTTAAACAACGCCATAATCGATCTCATATATATTGGTAATGACATTCAATTTGCTTTCAATATTCGACAAATATATCCCTAAGTAAAAAAGCGCTAATATTCCACTGCCTAATTTAATCCTTGTGTAAACCGTGCTTGGCTTTCTATTTGCCTTAATACACATTCGACTAACCCGATTCCAATGACGTGGCCTTACAAACATTATGTAAGCAACGACATACTCGATTCTATATACCTATATGTTCGTCATTCGTCAACATTCCTTCGATATAGACTAACGTAAATATGTCCAAACGTCGCGCGCTATATCACTAATTGCTATATTTTTCTAATACGTATAAAATGTTTGATCAAACTGATATGTCGTGTTTAAATATGACATTACACGATATAAAACAGACCCCTTGCGCTAATATTAACCCCAATGACCCTTGTACAAGCAGTGATTATAAAAACAACGACATATTCGATTCTATATGCGTTGGAAATGACTATCGACCTGACAAAACATATTACAATAAAGACTTTACTAAGAATTTATACACATCTCTGTACGGTATGAGCGTTAGTGAACTTAGCCTGTGGTCTATAGACGGTTCGTATTTCAAGGATAAAAGGAACCGCGCAGCAGGACA